AGGGATTGTGTGGCTATGGCAGCAACCACGAATGCAAGTATTTGGCTCCACAATCTCTAGCACCATTGTTTATTTCTTGCTTTGATTTGAACCCTTTTCGCTTGAAATCTTGGGAAGCCGATCACAGCTCGCAAGCTCTGATCTTTCGTGGGCTTACAGGATGGGAACTCGTCATTCGGGAATTATGATTATTGTTCTTTATAAGTTGTAAAATACAATGACAAATAAATAAATATCTTTGAGGGAGATAAATAAGTTGTGTTGTATGTAGGGCTATAAACTAGCCGAGCCGAGCTCGAGCTTAAGGTGTTTGAGCTCGAGCTCTTAACGAGTCGAGTCGAGCTCGTCTCGTTAAGTAAACGACCCAAACGAGCTCGAGTTTTACTGAGTCGAACTCTAAAAAATTACATAAATTTCACTTTTTGAGCCTTAACGAGTCGAGCCAAGTTCGACTCGTTAACCAAACGTGCTTTAAATGAGCTCGGGCTCGGCTCGTTAAGGCTTCGAACTCGAGCCGAAGCGAGCCGAGCTCGAGCCGAGTCGAGCCAGACTCGTTTAATTTAACAACACTAGTTGTATGATTGTACCCTATCCTCATGGATCATCTTCAGAACTTGTATCACTAAACGCTTTCTGCTGGATTGGATGGAATAAAGGAGATTACTTTATTAAAATCGTGAGCTCGACTCGGCTCGTTAAGATTTAAGTTTGAGTCGATTTGTTTGATAAATGAGTCGGGTTTGGCAGAGCTCGCTAAGCTTGCAAGCATATGCTTATACATAATTTTTTAATTTTTACCTTAACTTGGCTCGTCACGACTCAAGTTTGTCTCGTCAATATTGATAAATGAGTCAAAATTGAGCATGTTTATCGAATTGATAAATGTTTCATTGGAGCTCAGATACCAAATTGATATGATATTTTGCACTTTTTTGTGTGTGCACATTGATATATTATTTATTACGTTTAGCTACGTCTTGATATTTTCTTCATCGTGTGGTGATATTTTGGTGTATAATTATTCAAATCCAATACTAGATAATGCAAGAACAACAATCATGTAAATCAAATTGAGGTGTATTAAATACTGAAAAAATAATTACATTCAATCCATCATTTGGAGTGGAGAATTTCAAAGCATAGTGATATCGAAACAAAGGCTTCTTCATGAGGAGCTTGTTATGGTCACTCTTCTTCATAAATGTGTCATCTAAAGCTCTTTCACAAGGTGTGGACAACGTTCTCATTCTTCAATGCATACTTATGCTCTCTAGACAAATAAGAACATATTGTTCCACATGCTAAGCAGTTGATATTTCTCGTCGATGTCATCTGGCTTGTCTTTTTCAATGGAAATGTCGACGACTTGCTGAAAGAGAGAATCCAACACTTCGTCTTGCCACATTAAGAAATGATCGTTCCCATCGAAGATCTCTACCAGGAGTTTGACGTTCGGCAGCACAGTCCTTATTGGAATTAGTGCATAGGACGGTGCGCCATTTATCTTCCTAGCCATCTCGAACTCGAATGCAATGATCTCCTCACCAAACGAGCCTAGGACGAAACTTCGCCTGTAGTACCACTTGTTGGGGTATCACAACAAACGCAACGGAAAAAATACTCTCACAACAAATAATGGAAAACACTACTACTAACGAAAATAAGTCAACAAAAATAATAAGTCAACAAAAATAAATCAAATACAAGAAAGAAAAAAGAACACACAAAATTGCTAGCCAATATTGTCTCCTTCTTTAGGTACCGCCAATCGCAATGTCAAATTCACTAAACTCACCAACAAAATACAATTAGGGTTAAATAGTCCACAAATTGTAATCTCCTTCTAACATATGAGAAAAAATAATAAGGTGAAATTGTAGCACAAAGTTAAGTGGTCTATTTATACCAAAGAGATCTTACATATCTTTGGTACATTTCTGATGTGAAAAAAAACATTAATCAAAATTTAACAACCCATATATCAACAAATGTTAGACATTTTTCCTTTGAAATGGGTATGATCAAGATTAACTTTGCTCATCTGCCTATGATGGACATTACGAGTTAATATGTCCATCAGCTGATGTGGCAAGAAATTAGCATACCCTACACGGTGGCTATGGTGTTCAAATATCTTGATATGTAACTTGTAGACACATTTTAATATGCCTACGATGGATATATGAGAATTTTTTAAGATAAATATATGTGATGGTAGTTTTTAATTATTTTTTTTTGTATTATTATTGTGTTTGACCCAACTACAAGTATATAATAGATCCATTAGCATTTGTTATTCCAATATGTGATTCTTGCAACAGGGATGAAGACCATCTTCTTCTCCAAATTATAGGTAAAACTTTTGCCATAATATAATTCGATATTCCATTCCCCTAACTTAGACATTGTTCAATTTCTCAAGATCCACCAAATGAAAGAAAAAAATAAAGTTATCTATTCACGCTACTATTTTAATGATAGAGCTTGTGGACATATCCACCAATAATAGAACTTAGTACAAAAGAAGGAGGCCAGAGGCCTAAGGATACTAAACTAATACTCTACGAGGATGAGACACCCGCGAGCATCATCATCAACCACCCGACACGCAGCCTAACTTCTCACCTTTCCATCCTCTTCATCGGACTCGACATCCTCACTCTCCATAGCCTCTCCTATCGGTTTGTAAGTGTAGCACCACGCGCACGCGGCATAGTACACAAGGTTCACCACTTGCACACAAGTCACCAGCCAATAGTAATTCTCAAGCTTCCCCCGATTCAAATTCCTATCTGGCAACCAATTCTCCTTACTTCCCGTGCACCCGTGCACCAAGCTCACCATACCCGTGCTCAAATAGTTCCCGATCGCGATCGCGATCCAGTAAAGCGCAGACGCCGTGCTCCTCATGCTCTCGGGCGACTGGTCGTACAGAAACTCCATGTGCCCGACTGCCATAAAAACCTCTGATAGCCCATGCACGCAGTATTGTGGCACCAGCCAAAACACGCTAATTGGCACTACTGCAGCCGGCCGATCGAGCAGCCCGTACTTTGCGGCTGCATTCTTTCGTCTTATCTCGACAAGGGCCGAAACGATGCTCCCAAAAATGCTGATGGTGTAGCCGATTCCCATTCTCTGGAGGGAGGTGATCCCAACCGGGTTGGAGGTGAGACGACGTGCGAGGGGGAGAAGGAGTCGGTCGTAGAGCGGGAGGGTGACGAGGACGGTGAGAGTGGAGAAGATCGACATCGAGGCCGGGGGTATCTGAAACGAATGGGATAAGTGGCGGTCCATGGTGCGTGCCTGCTGGATCGTGAAGCTGCCGAGGTGTGCGTGGGAGGCGACGAGGAGGATGGCGGCCGACCATATGGGTAGGATTCGG